CACTTTGATGTTGACATACGGAACATTATTAAAGTTCTTAAGAGTTAGTATGCTATCTTTCTGTGCGCATAAAGGAGAAACTCAATCAGCTACTCTCTGGATCCCGTGATGAAACTCAAGCCCTGGCTTATGTTTCACGAAGATTTCCAGTCTCAATAAAAGACATTAGCAGCGTTTGCCCACTAGACTTGTTGCTTCAGTCATCATTGTCATCGCCGTGGTTGACAGATGATGTAAGTGCTGAAAAATAAAATTGTTTTTGTTTTTTACCACAATTAAGAGCTTTGTTTGTTAAGAAATCATCTGCCAGCCTCAAATCTTTTTTTCGTAAACATTCCAGGCTGTTAACTATCGGGTGGGGCAGCTCGCTCAAGAAAACAAGGTGACTCATTTTCATTTGTTTCCTTTATGATATTTTCATTGGTCAATGAGTATTTATGAAATGCTTAATGAGATGTTCTATTTGACAGTGTGGTGCTTTAGGCACTTTTGATTTCACTTTGTGGCACCGGGAATGGACCAAATCTGGAGCAGTCAGTGATGAAGTTGCCAAATGCATTCCGGTAGGTCCTTTTTGCATAATTAAAAACATAAAAACAATAAATAAATAAAAAATCCCAAACATAAATTTACAAAAACAATATTGCTTTTTACATGCTACATGACCTGTGTGCACCTACAACTGTTACGTTTGTGCTACAGGACTCAGAAAAGATATTCCTTCCCAGAATTGTGGGTCATTCTTCACCAGAGACAGGCAACCATTTCATCCTTTGGGTGAGCCAAAACATTTTAGGAAAGAGATTTCAGCCTATAACATTTACTCTTTTTATATTTTTCTGAGCATTTAAGATCATATATGTTTGTAGGTGTTTGACTTCAAAGCCAAACAGATTAGAATATACGACTCACTGATGACTTCCAGCAGCATCAGTGATGATGACATGGACCTGCTCAGGTAAAAGGAGATTTTGTGCTACAGTTTTAGTTTGCAGGTAAATGAATGCGATACTGATGGAGCTGAACTGCTGCCACTCTCTTTTTTAGAAACGTCTTCAGGTTTTCTGGTGGGCTTCAAGGTTGGACAGTCAAATATCCTCCACAGTGGAAGCAGGAGGACTCCGTTAATTGTGGTGTTTTCGTGTGTTCGGTGAGTTTGCTGTCCTGGGAGCTGCTACTTTTGCATGATTTATTGGTTGCTCACGTGTTGGGTCATCATTGTTAATTTTATTTCAAACTAGGCTGCAGAAAATGAAGTCCTACATCACAAGGTCACTGATGATGCTCTGACCCTTAGTGAGTGCAGGATTCTTCGTCTGCACCACGCTACACAAATGCTGAAAAATGTGAAAGCTGAGGTTAGAGAAATAGATATCTCAGTATAACAAAATATTTACTGGTAGTATATGAAATATTGTGTGATAATATTAAGGGTTTTGTTATTTAGGATTTCCCACCGACTATGGAAGACATGTTGAAGATTCGACAGAAAGAAATGGAAATACAAGAAGCTGGAGTTGAACAGACCGACTCAGGGATTCATTGCATGGCCATGCAAATAAAGGCATGCTTGTTCCAGAGAGTGACTGGGAAAACCAGGTGTGCATAACAACACTGACAACTAAACATTATTTATGTATCAAACATTTGAGAATGAAAGTTACTCTTTTAAATTTAAAATTCACTTTGATTTTCTACAGTGTTTTTCATGACCACAGAAATCAATGTATGTGGCTACTGTGCACTGTCTGCAAAAAATGTCTGCATTTTGAGTGTGCTGGTGTGGAGGGAGACTCGAAAGACTGGGAATCAAAGGGTTTTGTTTGCGGATGCAACCTTACAACTAATGTGTAAGAAACTCTTGATTTGAATATCAGTTACTGTCATACTGTTGTTGTAAGTTTACATATGGTCATCATAAGCATTAACATTTAATTTTGTGTAATTTTGTGGTTCGGTAATGATTTCTTTAAACTATTCTTTTTCCAGGGTGGAATGATTGCATCACAAATATCTTGAATGACTTAAAAAAATGTAGTGCACAATTTTTATTTTAGATTTTCTCTGGTCCACAGAGTCAAAATTGTACATAAGGGCTCAAATATAGACATGTACTAAAGTGTTTAAACAAGTGGTTGTCAAGGTTCTATGGTGCTATTTACCTTGTCAAGGCTAAGGCCTATTACCTTCTCATTTCTGATCACCCAAAAGTAATTTATTTGACAGCACTTATTGGACTGACCAATACTCCGAATAATGAGAAAGTCTAAGTGAAGATATAAGAAGGAGAATTGTAAATTTACACAACTTGCGAAGGTCTTTTAAAACGGAGTCCCTGCTAGGGCCGTAACACTGAGCTATTTAGGAAAATATGTGTTTGAAGGACTAAAAAGCCAAAAACCAAGAACATTATGCCAAAGGTCAAGCATTGTGGTGATAGCATCATACTCTGGGGGTGTAAGGTGCCCTGGTATATTGTTACCTGGTATATTGGTACAAGTAGGTTGACTAATGAAGAAGAGGGACTACCTCTAAATTCTTCCAGTTTCCGTCAAATTAGCTGGAAGGTTGAAACTTAGACACAATTGAGTGTTCCAGCAGGACATTTATACCAAAAACACATCACAACTCATTTTGGAATGCATAAAACAGTCTAATATTATTAAGCTTTTGGAATGGCCTCCCTAAATCCTCAAACTTAAATTTTTTGGACTATGCTAAAGAGCTGGGTAAAGAGCTCCAAGCAAAGTCATTAGGCTTAAGAACTCTACTAATTTTTCCAATACTCAAATATCAAGTCAGAATTTTGATTCTGTGCGGCTAAAAGAAAATACCAAAATAAATTCAAACTAGTGCACCCAATTTTTGTATTTGTTGAAACAACTGTAACCCACATAATTTCCTTAAGGATCAATAAAGTTATTTTATTTTACCCTGGAAGCAGAACAGTAAAAAAAAAAAAATCATTAGAATCCACAAATTACCATGACAACCATAAGTGTAGGTAAACATCTGACCTGTACAGTATAAAGATTTAAATACAAATGTTGCAGATTGTGGTTAATTTAAGGCTCGTGGGCAATGCTTTTGTCTCAAACAGAGGTGACATGCTGGAGGCTGTTACAGTTACAGAAATCCTTTCAGATGAAGAAATTAAGGTGATTTAATGCATTCTAACGTTTCTTCACTAACCTGTATGTCATGTTATCAGCTACCATACATTTAAATCACATTTTATATTCTAATATTACAGGATTTGGAAAGAAAACTGCAGAGTGGACTTGTTCTCTCCAATCGGATGTATCTGTGGAATCACAGAGAATTTGATCCTGAACTTCGCAAATATTACAGTGAACATTTTACTTTATTCAGTGACATAAAGGTATGTATATTCAGTGTTTATGATCTTATTCACACTTACAACTTGAGTTTAGCATCCATAGTAATCTGTAGTTTTTCACTCAAGTATGTTTACATAACCTAAACATTTCAGGATCTTTACATTAAAAAATATAAAGTGTCTTGAAGCAACTGTTGTTGTGATTTGGTTCTATATGCATAAAAACTGAACTGCAGTGCACTGAACAGAAACAAATTCAAAAAAACAGATTTTATATCATGCCCTTCAACTATTAATCTGCAAAAAGTCTACCCAACATTTGGCCCCCCTCAGCTGGGGCCTCTAGCCCTGCTGCGACAGTAAACAGAAAATGTAGTTAAATAAGTGGATGGATGAATGTATCCATATCAGGATTAACATAACTAATAAGCCAAAACTCTAACTGCATGGCAACATCTGCATAATAACACTGAAATAAGCCATTCTAAGGCTTAGTAATGGGATGGTAATACTACAAAAATATATAGTTTTATATTCATTTTACTACCATGTATTTTAAATGACTTTAAGACACTTTGTGACAATTGTTTATTGTTTTTTACATTTATTTCATTAGTTCTATACATTGCACTATACAAGCAAATTTTACTTTTACTTGGTGATGGTGGCAAGAAAAACTTTGTTGGACATTTTCTTAACCAGTAAATTGTGTCATGGCGGGGTGTGTAGATGAGGTAGACCCAAAAGCAGACACGGTGGAGACAGAACTAAGTTTCCAAAAATAAAGTGAGCCTTTATTGTGGCTGATGGCATGAGAATAACACTAGAGACACACCGAAACTGGGAAAACTAAGGGGACTAAGAACACTGTGTAAATTAAAAGACTATGACACTCTGTGAAAACAACTATGAAAAACTATGAACACAGAGTATCTAGGAATGCTATGAAACACAGTGAAACAATGAGGGAAAACTATGTCAGACAACCTGACAAAGAACAGTAAGAGACAAAGGACTTAAACATACACATAAGGTGATCAGGGGGAGTGGAGACACATGAGGAAACAGCTGACTAGGATGAACATAATGATGCACAGGAAATGTAAACCAAAACACAAAGACATGAAAACTGGACTTTTACAATAAACAAGAAAACATGACAAGACGCAGGCATGACACAAACTTGACAACATTAATCAGGCAGGCAAGAAACATGACCAATAATACATTTAGCTCTGTGGGAGTGGGAGCATATTCGAGCTGACAGTGACAGTGCACCAGACATGCAACCTGTGTCCTATGCTTTTACCCCATGTCTTCTGTCCTTTTTGGTATTCCAGACAGAAGAAATGATCCAAAGACTTGAAAGAATTCTGTCAACGCCAGTGGAGGAGCAGCTATACCTTAGAGAGGTCATTTTGCCAGAGGTGAGCCGAGAACAAAAAAGATCAAAGATTGAAAAAATGTTGTAGATATTCTGAATGAATTATATGTGTCAGAAACAGACAAGCATAATTTAGGACATGTGGTTTTTACTATAATTAATTTCTTGAACGGAGAATGAAAACTGCAGAACTTCAAGTGAACATCTATACAAGAAATACAGCTTAAAGGTGGTAACTTTAACTTTATTGTTGCTAAGGTTTTGATTCGATGGTTGCAAAGCAGCGGGAAAATGTGCAGATACCAAGCTGAATCTATACTTCTGGAGGGCACATCTTACAAAGGGGTGGAAATGTAAGTTCCATTGTTTACATTGTAGGTTTACTCACAGTTTAATCTGATTGTGCTGACTGAGTGTGGCAAAGGATAATTACTCACGTTTGTATTTTTGTTTTTTCTTAATCAGTACAAGAGAGACAACAGCTGGTGATTCTGGACAAGTAGAAGATGTAAGAGAAAACACACACAGACACACTAAAAATTACATAGCAAAACACTTTGTATAAAAATCTACACTCGAGTGTCCTTGTGTGTGAGTTTCAACTTGCAAGTTAAAAAAAGAGGAAGGCAAAGTCTGTGATGTACGAGCATTGTTTTGTATTTTACATGTAATGGTATTAATACTGTCAACACTTTGTCTTTTTTTCTGCAGGAAAACACTTTTCAAAGTGACTGCAAAGCTGCGGCTGCTTTTTGCTACAACAAGGACTTGGATGGAAAAATTGACCTTCCTGAGGTCAAATTGGAAGAAGAAGACATGCAGATCCAGGAGGGTGGTCACCATGACGATTCCCAAGGAGAAAATGTCACATTTGTATATCAAAAAAGCGATGACAGTGACAGCGCTGAGACAGAACTTACAATTTCTAAAGAAATCTTAGCCATGTTCAAGAAAGAAAATGAAATTCCTGACCTTAACCTTTCAGGCCCTAACTTTATAAGTACTTGATTTCTGGTTTATGTTTGTTTCTCTTCAGTCTGTCTTTTGGGTGGCTGTGGCTCAGGAGGTTAACCAGGTCACCAACTAATCAGGTTTTTGGTTTAATCCTCATCTGCTGCAGTCCTGCATGCCAAATATCCTGGGGCAAGATAGTAACCCCAAGTTGCTTTTATATGAATATGAAAGCATGTGCATGTAAGCTAGAATACACTTACATAGGAAAAGCATTTTTAACAAGTGTATGGATGAAGTAAATTGTGCAAAATCATTTTAAATGCTCAGACTTGAAGAACTAGTCCATTTACCAGTCAGTGTCCATTTGTCTACCTCTGATTCCTGAGCGCCCTGTCTGTGTCTGGCCTTAATGCTCTGTCTACGTGAATACCTTTGTTGTACCTTATCCCTGTATTTTCTCCCTTCCTGTTCCCAGGCTCGTCTCTCTGTCTTTTCCTCTGTGTCTTTGTCATGCCTACGAAACAGACATTTCAACACTGTATTAAGCTTCTGGAGCACAGATGTTTTGAAACACTGCTCCAAAGCCTTGTTCAAAGCACACAGGGCACATGACTGCAACTAAATGAAGTGTTGGTATTGCAGTTTCGGCAGGTGTCTTACCTGCTGCTTCGAAGCATAGCCAGTCGCAAGCATTCACATTTTTCTATTAACCAGAGTCTTTAGGCAAGGCAAGGCAAGTTTATTTGTATAGCACAATTCAACAACAAGGTGATTCAAAGTGACAGAGTTTACAGAGACATTAGAAACAAAAACAATTAAAAAGCATGATTTAAAATTGATTAAAACAAGCAAATAAACTAACTAACTAATTAACAAACAAACAAACAAACAAAACAGTATATAAAATCAAAACAGATCAAATCAGAACAGTAGATAAAATCAGTAGTTAAATGTAAGTTTTGAAATTTAAGCTTAAAGTGTGGATTTGGTGCTTTATTCAAATGCAGCTGAGAACAGGTGAGTCTTCAACCTGGATTTAAATAAACTGAGTGTTTCAGCTGATCTGAGGCTTTCTGGGAGTTTGTTCCAGATATAAGGAGCATAAAAGCTGAATGCAGCTTCTCCGTGTCTGGTTCTGACTCTGGGAACTGATTAAAGACCAGATCCAGATGACCTGAGGGATCTGGAAGGTTCATACTGGGTCAGGAGGTCACTGATGTATTTTGGTCCTAAACCATTCAGAGCTTTATAGACCAGCATCAGAACTTTAAAGTCTATCCTCTGACGGACAGGCAGCCAGTGTAAAGACCTCAGAGCTGGACTGATGTGGTCTACTTTTTTGGTCTTAGTGAGGACTCGAGCAGCAGAGTTCTGAATGAGCTGTAGTTGTCTGACTGAATTTTTAGGTAGACCTGTAAAGATGCTGTTACAGTAATCAAGCCTACTAAAGATGAATGCATGGACTAGTTTTTCCAGGTCCTGTTGAGACATCAGATCTTTTATCCTTGATATATTCTTGAGGTGATAGTAAGCTGACTTTGTTATTGTCTTAATGTGTTTTTCTAAGTTTAGGTCTGCATCCATCACTACACCCAAATTTCTCGCCTGGTTTGTGGTTTTTAGATGTATAGATTGAAGTTCTCTGGTGACCTGTAATCGTTTTTCTTTGGCGCCAAAGACTATTACCTCAGTTTTGTTTTGTTTGGCTGGAGAAAATTGTGGCACAACCAGTCATTGATTTCCTCAATGTATTTACCAAGAGCCTGTACAGGGCCTTGGTCTCCTTAGGACTTGTATTTATTGAATTAATGCTTATGATACAACTGTGAATGCATGAAACAAAATGTTGCACTCTCTCATTATTATTTTTGCTGTGGACTGTAAAGACCAAAATAGACTATCCACTCACTGAAACACTGGAATTCAAAGTGTAATTAAACAAACATTATTTAAATAGATAGAAATAATATATAAATATTTTTACTTTAATGATTACTGGCACATAGATGAGAGAAAGCTAGAGACAGAGACTGGTGGGTGGGCTTCATCCCCTCCCATCAGCAGAGCGACAGAGCAGCTCTAGTTTTTTCTACTTTCTGATGTTCGACACACATAAAGAATATATTTATAAATTTAAAAAAAAATGCTAAACAAACACATTTATCAATTACAGGGGATGTATTTCTTAACATTTTTTATGACAAATGTTTTTTTTTTCTTTTCTCACTGATGCTCCATTTGTTAATACCTCAAAAACAACAGGAGTAATGCAGTTTCACTGTAGCCTAAACTCCAACCTCACCATAAACATCATGCCAGTGTTACAAAACATACAGCAACCAAAGCAGTGTGAACTTCATCCTATTTCTTTTCTAGCATATACATTGTGTTGACATAGAGATATTCATGTATTTAAGCTCACAAATTAGTATGAGTGTGGGTGTTGTGTGTATATACTGTCTACATCCCCCTCACTGTATTTACAGTTTCTGTCTGTCAGTTTTCCTCTTAGATGATTTGATCTGTATTGATCTTTTTTTCCCATCATTTAGTCAATAAAGCTGTTTTCTTTTTAAAATTTAGTTCTGTTTGCCATGTCGTGCTTTCAGGGTCCTTACGCTATCATCCACACACCAACTCTCATGACAGTTCGCACGTAACGGTGCTATTAGTATTTCTTGTGTCATCTGAATCATTCTGACCTTTTGAAATAGTTGATGCGTTGATGCTAATGCTTTGGAAGAATCCGAATTTGAAGTTGTTAGAGCCAGAAGTGACCATAATTTGAACACAGAAAGGCTAAGTCATCAGCTAATGCTATTTAGCTTGTGTGCCTAAGTTAATTACTGATCCTGTGTTTTTTCATTAAGTGATTTTTTTTATTCATTAATATTTGATCATGTTATTACAGTTGATGAATGTATGCAAACCTACCACCTTGGTTACACAACCTTCAAAATGGAGCTACCTATAGAAAACTATCCTTTATTATAGTAATATCCTTAGGCAAGACACTTCACCTACCGCCTACTGGTGTTGGCCAGAGGGGCCGATGGCGCGATATGGCAGCCTCGCTTCTGTCTGTCAGTTTGAATGAAAACACATGCTGTTGTGACAGTGATGTACACTGTCTTGTTGGTATATGTATGATTTCTATACATTTTACATCAGATAAAAACGTTGGTCCCTGTTAATGCCCTACCTGGCCCCCTGGCAAAACTTTGCTAGACCCGCCCCTGCACAGTTACCAGCTGTCAGCTACATAGAAAAGGTTCCTGGTGTTATTTGTCAGAAACAGTTCATAACTTCCCTTCAACTCATTCATGTCACCTACTGTACATCATCAACAAAAGAGTCAGAGAAACTGAAGATGTCTTTGTGTGTAAGCGACTAGGGTGAAGACCTTTATTAGATTTCCATGGTCTTCGAGCCCTGAGAACAAACTGCATCACTCATCTGATTGTATCTCTAACATTTCTAAATGGCCCAGGAATACTTCCAGAAATCTCTGTAGGTTAACACAATCCACTGTGCCACCTGCAGATGCCAACTAAAGCTCTATGATGCATATTTAAACATAGTCCAGAAGTGCCGTCATGTCTTGTGGGTAAAGACTCATTTGAAATGAACTGTTTCATAGTGGGCAAGTGTTCTTTGCTCATAATGGTCCAAATATACATTATTTTTGGTAATCATGGACGCTGCTTTCCTGGTGCTAAAACGGAGGAAGACTTTCCAGTGTGTTATCAGCGCTTAGTTTAAAAGCCAGCATCTCTTATGGTATAAAGTTGCGTAAGCGCAGTATGGGCAGCTTGCATGTTTTAGAAGGAACTATGAATGCTGAAAGGTTTATAAAGCTTTTAGAGCAACATATGCTGCAGTCCAGATTACTTCTGTTCTTAGTTGCCTAAAACATGTCTTATAGGAGCCACTGTAGCTGCGATTATACACTTGAATTGGAAAGAAAGTTCAGCACACCCAGGGCATCTTTGCCTTATCTGGATTCTCTTACCCTAACAGTGGTGATTGGGATAAATGATCACACAAAGCTGATTATCAGCTCTCTAAGTTAACCCAGGGTTTACTCATTCACGTAAGGAATGATGTTGGAAAACTCTGGCCAACTAATGTACCAGCAGCCTAGTGACTGATTTTACCAAGACAGAGTAAATAATAATATAGGAAAACATGAAGAGGTTACAAATACAAAATACAAGTAACACAACTGCTGTGGATAGGCCTGTGGTGTGAGAGGAAAAGCAGTGTAGCACTTATCAATATCAAAACTTTATCATTAAGACATAGGAGAGTCAGAGTTATAATAAAGTATAAGAGTATTCTATTAGTTTAATATTAAAATACCATAAAACTATTTTAGTTTTATATATAAATGACCCACACGCTGCAGTGTGATTGCAAACTCTTTACTTTCAGTTTGCTTTTTCAACAAGTTTGTGCTTTCAGGAGCAGCTTTTCAGCTCCTCATCTCTTAGCAGTGCCTTCCTGCTGCTCCTGCTCCTGTATGCTTTCGGTGGCTACTCAGGCATGATTAGTGCTCCACCCCTGCAGCAGAGCAACTAACCACACCCCACTACAATTAATACTTACAGAGCAATACAATGAAATTAAAAACAAACAAACAAACAAACAGGAAATTGTGTCTAAGAATCTAGCTTACTGAAGCTCATAACACAAGGACACCAGATGCTATTTAAAAAATACAATTGAGTTAATCAAGTAAATAAGTTACCATGGTGATTTACCCCAGTAACCCTGTCTTCATAGTTAAGAAAACCAAGGATTCACCCTGCATGAGACA